GCAAAAAAGTATAGTCGAAGTGACATCTGCACTTGTTTGTTCATTGCAGCACTGTTTACAATAGTTAGAACCTGGAAAAAACCTGAGTGCCTGAGAATAGATGACGGGTTAAAGAAACTTTGATGTATCTACACAATGGAGTACTATGTAGCTATTAGAAAAGATGAAGTCATGACATTCACATACAAGTGGTACTACATGGAGAGTATTATGCTAAGTGAAATGAGTCAGAAAGAGAAGGACAGACATAGAAAGATTGCATTCATCTGGGGAACATAAAGTAACAAAATAGGAGACGAACACATAAGAATAGCCGAGATAAGTACAAGGAGGTTTACTTTATAGCTTGGAAGACAGCCGCACACACTAGGGGTAAAGGCAGCTCAGATAGAGAAGGGAGCACCAAATAAAGGGTGTTGGGAAGATCCGCCCAGGATGGGAGACGCATGCTGAAAGTAGACTATAGACCGAACATGACTGCCACTCAATTCCTCTTTTGCAAACCACGGCACCCAAAAGGAGAGAGAGAAAGAGAGAGAGAGAGAGAGAGAGAGAGAGAGAGAGAGAGAGAGAGAGAGAGAGAACAAAAGGGAATGTCCTGCCACAGAGGCAGGGTGGATGGGGGGATGTGGGGTGAGAGGGATACCGGGATTAACGGTGGTGGAGAATGGGTACTGGTGGAGAGATGGGTACTCGATCATTGTATAACTGAAACCCAAGCACAAAAATTTGTAAGTCTACAACTGTACCTCATGGTGTTTCACTAATAAAAATTTTTAAAAAAACACAAAAGTTTAAGTAAATAAAGTGTCTGTCCACATAAAAAAAAAAGAAAATTTTGTGTTGCATATATGAGGTTCTGGGTTAGATCTCTAGCACTAAAAATTTTTTTTAATTAAATTAAAATGGAAATGTGAAGGACTTGGGAAGAATATAAAATTTAGTATTCTTTTTAAAAATGGAGTCTGGGTGCTGACTTGTCACTTAAAGGCTATGAGAAAAAAAGAAATTGCATTAACTTCTATTAGCTAATGAGTATAAAGTATCAGTGAGTACACAGCTTAGTGTGTGAATGGACATGGCAAGCATGTGGTGTCACTCTATAAGCCAAAAAGTCTGTCCACATGGGAAATGTATAAGGTAGGTGAATATGGTCCCTGAGGATCATGTATGGCTACAATCTTCTTGCCAAAGTTTGGATAACTCTGACTTGATGCTCCGTCATGCAATGAGGAGATGCAAGAGACCCCAAATGAAAGTCTCTTGAGTGTCAACACATCCTGATAAAATCCTAGGGGCCTATAAACTCTCTTCAATCTTTGGGATGCATCATACAGAGTAAAGGACAGTTATAACTTGTAAAGGAGATGGGACTCAGGGATGTGTCATTAACAGGTTGTTACTAGAACAATCTTTCTTTACGGCCATGGAAAGGGAAAGTGGTGAGGAGATAGAACCAGTGGGTGGGATGAACCCAGGAAAATTTCTCCGAGAAGGAATTATGAGTTATGAGCAGTCCAGCAGTTATGAGCCATTATAGTTACCATTCTCCTCAATCTCTATGTAACAACCAAAGACGAGCATCTGTTCAAGCAGATGGTGGCCCAAGACCCTCAGATACCTTCTGGGTCTGGACTCAAGAGAAAATGGTTCCTGTTGGAAATAAGCAACATGAAGGGTTTCCATGTGCTACAGCTGTGCAAACAACACCTACCAAGCCCTCCCCTGTGTTTCCTTCATTCTTACAAGCCTTGGTGTCCTTTCCCCCTCAATACATATGTTGGCAGCATTTAGGCATAAGGATGCATATGTGTAGTTTGGGATACTCAAATATCATGATGATAGTTTCTATCAACACTGGGGGCATCCCAAACTCAAGAGCTGTGATCTCCCCTCAGACTAGGATTTTCTGTGATCAGGGACCAGCCCTATTAACCTCCTTGTGCCAAGACTACTACTGGGTCTTAAGGGAGCCCTTGGATTCCTCTGAACACCTATTAATGCCAAGCACTTTACTGGGCACTGTGAAACACATACTCTGGGGGTCCTCCCCCCCTAAAGATGCATAGTAAGCTGGAACCATGCCTGATCTGTGAGATGGCAGGACTCAAACTTGCCAAGCACACAGCTTGTCTAAAAGGCTGTGGACATTCCTGACATTCCAGGCTGGGAATGTGGTTCAAGAGGCAGAGTTCATGCCTTGAGTGAAGTCCTGGCTCAATCCCTGGCACCAGATGATCCCCTCAAGGTTTTCTACAAGTGCTTCCTACACAATGATTTTTTTCTTCTTCAAATACATTCCTTTTTTTAATAAAGTAGTTCACAATTTTTTATTACATTTAATATTCGAACACCAGTCCCACCACCATTATACCTTCCCACCACCATATTTTGGAAATTTCCATCCTGAACCCCAACCCCTGTCCCAAAGCAGAACTAATTTATTTTGTATTGTTATGAAAAACCACTGAAAATGCTCCCAAAACTTTCATTAGAGGAAAGAGTGTGAAGATTGTTGTATTTCACCCAGGGGCCAATAAACCCTTCCATAAGAGATCATTAACACGTTGTTAAAGGTTGAGCCTTGTGTGCTCATCTCTCTCTCTCTCTCTCTCTCTCTCTCTCTCTCTACATATGTGTGTGTGAAAAATGTTTCCGTCTAAGATTGGTTGCCTCCTACTTTAAAAAATGATTTTAAAAAATCTGACATTTCAGGTCTTACAGAAGTCCAAATACTTAAGTGTAAGAATTCTACAAATGCCACCATTTCTTTATAGATACAATATGATTACCAATTTCTGTCCACACAGATATCCACTACTTCAGACTTGGGATGAAATGCAGACCTGGGTTCATATATTCACACTTTAAGGAGGTTAACTCAGAACTAAAAGACAGTGTGCTTCTGTTGCATCAGCTTTATCTGCATGTCAATAAAGTAGATTTACTAGTTAGGCTTTTAATATTAAAAACTTATTTAAAATTTTCCTTACTAAATGCTATATAGGGTGGCAGAGGCGGGTATGGATTACTCCTCCCCAAGATCTTCCAAGGAGATCCCTGCATAGCATTGAAATAGCTACTGGTTCTCCCCATTGCTAACTTGGTGCCCTGTGTACTGGGTGTTAGCTAGAATCATGACTAGAGCATGCAGATCATAAACCTGATAGAGAAGGAATCCACACAGGTCTTATAAGAACATAACCCCCCCAAACCAAAATGGGCAATTTGATGCCTATTGGCTCTTTGGAGTTCCCTGCACTCGAAGTTCCCATGCTTTGAAATTACACACAAAAATAACATCTTTCTCAAAAAAAGGAAACATGTAAGCTCTTACACAAGCCATGTATTCATTTTGTCAAGTAAGAACATAAAAGAAACAGACACAACCTCCTGTCACTTTTTAAATAAATGATGTTTTAATACACACAAACATACACACAGAAGGCTGGATTCAGAATTAAAGAGTTTTATTCTCAGCAACACATCACTGACATATTTTTACTTACATGTTCCTAAGGACTAGAAAACACCCAATACTGGGCAGGTAGGCCCATAGATCAAGCCAGAACCACTGTCTACTCCCATTCCCCCTCTCACTTTACTTAGTGATAAAGTAGTTCTTTTTATACCTCCATCAATTGTTTAGCTGGAGCCTGTTTCTCTTCCAAATCTCCATGATGGCTTAGATTCAAGCTGGGAAGACTTTCTTCTAGACAGGCTGCCTATTCTTTCTGGAGGGAAGCACCTGAGTTCTTCCTGGGTTCACCTTTTGGTTCATACTGTCCAAGATAAAACTAGTGCCACAGGTTTCTGGGACCATAGTCTAATCAGGCTCATTTGGATCATTAAAACTCCATCTTAATTGGCAGTTTATTATTGGAGCTGTCATTTCAACACATAGCTGAGTGAAACAAGTTCAAATGTGTATCTTAAACAATACTGAGTTCCAGTGATGAAAGAAGTGGAACAGGCTCTTCTTCATACACTGATGTGATGTTATTGACCTATGGTCAATGAGGAAATTTTTGCATTATTTTCCTGAAAGAATAAATTTCTTCAAATCATCCAAGGACTCCTTCCTGGTTATGGTACCCAAGAGTAAGTCAAGTTGGTAATTTTAAAAAACGTGCTGAAATGGGAGAAAACAATAAAAATAGCCTCATCTTCTCAATGACTGTTTCTTTTTCACAGGGCTATGAAACTGGCATTGCTATGCCAATATGGTAGACAAGATATCTGAGCCTCAGAAAACTTGTTCATTCAACAGTCAACAAACACTGAGTGTCTCTTATGTGCTCATGGTACTGTGGTGCTGTGATTTTGCCCAATGTGACACAGCTAGCACCCAAAATAATTCACTTATCATATAAGCACCCCAGTCATCTCTCCTCAAGTTCATTCCATTCCATAGATAACTCATACTGAGGTCAAGGTTGTCACACGAGGGCAACAGACCCTACAGGACAGAGACATGGTTCAAGTGGTAGTGCACGTGTGACATGGTCCAATCTCCGAGTTCAATCTTCAATATCTCATGCCCCCACCATCACTACCAGAACTTCTACAAGTAGCCCTAGAGTCCCCAAGCAGCACACCTACAACCTGCATTTTTCAGGCCTGGTTATCTCCTATAGTGGGTTCTATTTGAAAAAAGAAAAAGATTCCAGGACCCCAGGACCAAAGACCCATGGGGAAAGGATCTCATGACCCATCTCTTTCACTTGCTCCTCTGCAAGGACATTTAATCATGGTGATTTATTTTATCCAACATGCGATGTCTCTGGGAAGATATCAAAATAGCTACCAGTGTCCAGAGTGTACTGGACTCTAGGAACTTGTCCACTTTTAAGTCAGTGAACAAAACAAACAACTCAGTGAAGCATCCTTTTGGCAAAGGAAGAACAAGTTCTCTCTATAGCAAACAGGGTTTCTGAGTAATGGGGTCAGAAGCCAAATGCTGGGACTTGAAAGATCTTCCTCTTCTGGACCACAGACTATCACACTCTTGGGCCTCCGCTTGAGTCCAGGGCCCATTCCTCAATAGAACCTCTCTCTCTGGTATGTTAAACAATGTCTGCCATCCACTCTGGCTGGCCATCCCTGCTGGCTGACTTGCCACACAATTGCATCAGTGAAGTGGCCAGTCACACACTAGGCTGCCCATCTCAAGAATGCCAAAATCTTCATGAATGGGCCACCCCATGCCTGTAATCAACAGGGAGGTGGGGTGACAGCCATAGATCACGTAACTGAGGCAAACACGAAAGGCCAGCCCAGATCAATAGATGAGTCAGAGCTCTTCAAGTGTATAAAACCTCAGGAGCTCCAGTGCTCCTCACAGCCAGCATCTCCTCTCCTCATTCACCTCTTCTGGTGCTTTGGGTAAGTGTGGCTTCAACTTGCTCTCCTCTTGCCTGCTGGTCTCACCTGGGCCTGAGAAGGTTAGGTAGAGCTGGGGGACAGAGAGGCAAGCTCTCTCCTCCCTTTGGGAACCTGCAGGATTTCTGCCTTTCCAGAAGCATTCCTGTTTAGAGGGCATCCAGGTAGGGCAGTGAGGGCTAAGCCACTGCTATGTAGACAATGTTTCTGATCTGGACAGGTTGTAAACTCTGCAAAGACCATCGGATTTCCTATTTCTCTGGTCCTGCTGTAGCTGCAGATACAAAGGGCCACTAGCTATGAGGCTGAGCCTATATGCAAAGAGGAGGTAGAATAGTTCAGGAAGTGCTGCAGTTGGGTTTAACTTTAGGAGCATAGGAATCCAATGCCTGCACCTGATCAAGAAGAAAATAGCTCATGAGCTAGTAAGACAAAACTGCCTACTACTTATGCTCCCTTAAACCAAGATGTGGCATAAAGAAATGGCAGAGGCAGTGGATGATAGCTCTGAGCAGAGCTGATCCAAAGGACCATCAGGGTTCTCTTTCCAGACAGGATCACAGGGAAGCCTGCCTTTTCAGATGACTCTTTGAAGAGAACAGTGCTACAATAGCCCCCTGCTATTCAAACAGAACTCTCAGCTCTGCAGAGAAGCTAAAGTCTCCCAGTGGAACTTTGCCATCATTTTCTATTTGCATTCAGAGGTTCCATGTAGGGATTAGAAGAAATGTGGGAGATGAAGTGTCTGAAAGCCACATATAGAAGACAGGGGCAAAACTGGGAGTGCTAGCGCCCACCAGGTGGGCTATTTATAGCTAGATAAAAGACTTGGAAGAGCAGGGGTGATGAGAAAGGTGGATGCTGCCCCAAAGCAGTCACGTTCGGAGTCCCAGCTGCATCTCTGGCATCTATCTAGACCTAGGGCAAGGCGCGAGGCCCGATGCTCAGCGGGACAGAAGTTGACGGGCGTTGTCAAGGATGACTCTTGTCCCCTGCACTGCCTCCTCTTGCCGCTGGTCCACTGACGCTCTCCTGCTCTCCTTCCAGATTCGCTACCTCCTTAGACACAATGTCACAGAAAAAGCAGCCAACCCCCCAGCCCCCCATGGGCTGCGGAAAGTCGGGCGGCGGCGGCGGCGGCGGTAGCGGCGGCTGCGGCGGCTACTCCGGTGGCGGCGGCGGTGGCTGCGGCGGCGGCGGCGGCGGTGGCGGCGGCTGCGGCGGCGGCGGCGGCGGCTCCGGCGGCTGCGGCGGCGGCGGCTCCGGCGGGGGCGTCAAGTACCCTAGCGGCGGCGGCGGCGGCAGCGGCTGCGGAGGCTACTCCGGCGGCGGCGGCGGCGGCTGCGGAGGCTACTCCGGCGGCGGCGGCGGCGGCTGCGGCGGCGGCGGCGGCAGCGGCGGCTCCGGTGGGGGCGTCAAGTACCCGAGCGGAGGCGGCGGCGGCTGCGGCGGCGGCTCCTCCGGCGGCGGCGGCGGCGGCTGCGGCGGCGGCTCCTCCGGCGGCGGCGGCGGCGGCTGCGGCGGCGGCTCCGGCGGGGGCGTCAAGTACCCGAGCGGCGGCGGCGGCGGCGGCTGCGGCGGCGGCTCCTCCGGGGGCGGCGGCGGCTGCGGCGGCGGCTCGTCCGGCGGCGGCGGCGGCTGCTTCTCCAGCTGTGGCGGCGGCGGCGGCGGCAGCGGTGGCGGCTGCGGCGGCGGCTCTTCTTCCGGCGGCGGCGGCAGCTCCAGCCAGCAGGTCACTTGCCAGAGCTACGGCGGCTCCTCGGGCGGCGGCGGCGGCGGCTGCGGCGGTGGCTCCTCCGGCGGCGGCGGCGGCGGCTGCTTCTCCAGCTGCGGCGGCGGCTCGTCTGGCGGCGGCGGCGGCGGCGGCTCGGGCTGCGGCGGCGGCTCGGGGGGCTCCGGCGGGTCCTCCCAGCAGACCACCCAGACCTCGTGCGCGCCGAGCTTCGGCGGCGGCTGCGGCGGCGGCTCCTCCGGCGGCGGCGGCGGCGGCGGCTGCGGCGGCGGCTCCTCTGGGGGCGGCGGTGGCTGCTTCTCCAGCTGTGGCGGCGGCGGCGGCTCCGGGGGCTGCGGCGGCGGCTCCGGGGGCGGCGGCTCCGGCTGCGGGGGCGGCTCCTCCGGGGGCGGCGGCTCGGGCTGCGGCGGTGGCTCTGGCGGCGGCTCCGGGGGTGGCAAGGGCGTCCCGATCTGCCACCAGACCCAGCAGAAGCAGGCGCCCACCTGGCCTTGCAAATAAGAGCCCCTGGGCGCCACGGAGGCGCTCATGCTGGAGATGTTCTCCGTGGGCGCCGCTGGGCTTAATGCTCTCATGATATTGCTCTGAGGGGTCCAGATTCTCCAAGTCTTAACCCACGCCGAAGAAGCCACGGGGCGGGGGGACTGCAGCTTCTGCAGTTTTTCTCTCCTTGGTTTCTGTACCGAAAACTTCCAACCCCAATACCTCTTCAGCCAATAAATTTGCAATTCATGAGAAGGTCTGTGTTTGCAGGTGTCTTTGTAATTTCCAGCTGCATTCGTTCCTTTCCATTCTTCTTCTTTCTCCCATCCACTCAACAAGTATATTTATTTTGTCGGAGGGAGGTGGGTGGATAGATGGAAGTCAGTGAGGGAGAGAGGTTCCAGGTGACGAGGTCGGCCCAAATCACAACGATTCTGGGCATCCTGGGCAGAGGCATCGTGGTTCGGGTGGTCACCGCGGGTATTCTTCCTGAGCTCAGTGCTTTCTTAAGACAGAGATGCCTTGAGAAGGCATCTGTGAAACGCCGTTTCTCATACTCCAAAACTTACACTTCAGAGCATTCATTATCTTAGCACCAACTTGTGATGCCCAGGCTTGCAAGAGAAGGAATCATCAAATATTTATAAGCCTCTACAATGTGTTAAGACCCTTTGCTGAGTGCTTTACTGGGGATGGGATAAGAAAAAAATGGAGCTAAATTCTATTCTCTTAGATTTCACCCAACTTAGGAAAACACTGTAGGAGACACTAAATCCCCTTCCCAGAGGGGAAAAGGTGAAATACAGGAGTGTCCAACTAACAAGGAAAAAACTAGTATCCCTACTGCATAGCTCTCAAAAAATGAAACACGGAGAGCATCACCCTGGTCTGGAACTCTCCAGGACCCTGACGTCAAATTTTACCAGCTCCAGGTAGGTGTCAATTTAGCAGGATATGCAAAAACACTGTTAATGCCTCCCACCCAGTCACTGCTGAAGACAAAAAAGACAAATTATTTCTTCTCATCTCTTCCTGTCAGAGTCAACACTATCCTCATCATTGGTACAATATAACTTATGGCAGTCAAGTCTCCAAAGTTTAGTAGCCCAACATCATGTTATTTTATATGCTTTTTAGGGACCGCACCTGACAGTGTGCAGGGCTTACACCTGACTTTTCACTCTAAGATTGGTCCTCAAAGGACCATATGGGGTGCCAGGGATCCAACCTGGGCAGGTTGCATGCAAGGAAAGCACCTATCACTGCACTATTTCTCTGGCCCCTTTATTTTCTTTTTAGTGAAAGTAGAGCTTTCCCTTCAGAACCACATTTAGTAAATGGTTTTATCCCTACTGTTTCTGCCGAATACTAATACAATATCTAAGCAAACATACAAAATAAACAGAATCAAGTGGAGGAGGCTGCAGAGTGACTAGTGTCACCAGATAGTGAGGGTTTTGCTGTGGTTAAGTTCCCTGGGTTTTCTTCCAGATTGGGCACTAGAACACTGAAATCAAAAATGCCATGAGGCGTGGATAAAAATATCCATGGAATATCTTGTGGTAAATATTCAGGAAAAACTCTGTTGTTGTTGTTTTTAAATTCCTTTATCCAAACGCCAAGGAAAGTTGTAACAAAACAAAGCAGAAATATTTTTGTTTGTTTTTTGGCTCTTAGACCACTGGTGGTCAGGGATTACTCCTGACTCTGTGTCAGGGATCACTCCTGATGAGGCTCAGGGAAACTTTTGGAGTGCTGGGGATAAAATCTGATGGACCTGCAATGAACGTAAGGATGCAAATATCTTTTTAAAATATGTACTTTGTGGGTAGACACTAAGGAATGGAACCTCTGGGTTATATAGGATCTCTACTCTCTCTCTCTCTCTCTCTCTCTCTCTCTCTCTCTCTCTCTCTCTCTTCTCTCTCTTAAATGTCTCCATATTCTTTTCTAAGAGTATAAGAGGTGGAATGACATTCCCACCAACAGTAGATGAGGATTCCTTTTTTTTTTTCTTGGCTTTTTGGGTTACACCCAGCAATGCTCAGGGGTTACTTCTGGCTCTGCAGTCAGGAATGACTCCGGGTGGTGCTCAGGGGAACCTATGGGATGCCGGATGCCAGAGATTGAACCCAGGTTGGCTGCATGCAAGGCAAATGCCTTCTCCACTGTGCTATCACTCCGGCCCCCAAGGATTCCTTTTTTGTCCTGTTCTCTCTGCTACTGATACTGCTGGGTTGATTCCAGGTTTTTTATTTTATTTTTTTTTAAATATGTCACTCTTACTGAGGTGACACATTTTAATTGCATTTTCCCTGATGATAAATGAAGAAGTACACTTTTTCATACACTTGTTGGTGATCTGTATATATTACTTGTAACACTTGTCATCCCATTACTCATGGATTTGCTCGAGCGGGCGCCAGAAACGTCTCCCTGTGTCCCTGTCGTGTGCTAGTGTAGCCCAATGGCATCTGCTCGCTCCAGGAACATGAAGAGCCTCAAACTGTTCTTTCAGGGGTTTTTCTTTGTTGTCTGTTTGTTTTTTCCCTGTATATAATTTTACTTTTTGAATCACCGTGAGAGCAGTTACAAAGCTTTCAGGTTTAAGTCTTGGTCATACAATGAAATACTCGTCCCTTCACCAGTGCCCATTTCCCACCACCAAAAAGCCCAGAATACCCCTCATCCCAGACTCTCCCCCTACCTGTGGGGCAGATGAATTCCACATTACTCTCTCTCTACTTTGATTACATTCAATATTTCGACACCAGACCCACAATTATTATTTGGGTAACTTTCCAATTTTTGCTCTCATTTCTTCCCGTAATATCTCAATAGTCTCTGTCATGTTACTGGATATCTGTCTGACTGTTTCATTGAGTTCATTGAACATCTTCAATACTTCATATCTGAATTCTTTCTCAGAGAGGTCTTTTAGGTGAGTAGCACCTACTGAGGCTTCTGGACTCTTTTCATCGTCCTCCCCACGTGGTGGGGCTTTGCGTTGTTTCTTCATGTTGGTGTGGAAGTATGGGGACTGAAATGTTACACTAGATTTCTTGTTATGATTAAACTACCTGCAGCCACCGGTTGCCCGCCTAAAACTAGGCCACGCCCACTTCTGCAGAAGCCACACTCACTTCTGAAGGGGCCACGCCCCCACAGGTACTTGGTGTGTGTGGGGGGGGTGGGTACTGGCTGGGAGGGGAAGAAGACTGGCACAGCGTTGAGATGAACAGGAAGATGCTCAGGGCTGGTGGGCAACCCAGGGTCCTAGAGGATGTCCAGGCTACTTGCGTGAAGAAAGCCAATTACCAGGTTCGAGTACTGGCGGCTTGACTGACCTGGGAGGGGAAGAAGACCGGCACAGCATTGGGGATGAACCGGAAGAGGCTCAGGGTTGGTGAAAGACCCAAGGACCTAGAGGACTCCTGGGGCGCTTGCGCGAAGAAAGCCAATTCCCGAATTCGGGTACTGGCGGCTTGACTCCATTATTATTTGGGAATTTACCCCAACACTCAGATCTGCCGAAAAGGCAACAGTAGACAATTTGTTTTCTATTGCTGGTTATGAATAACATATGATGTCATATGGCCGCAGTACTGGCTGCACAATTTTGGAATTCTGAAATTTTAACAATTAAATCTGGAGAGATTTCTGCCAAAACCTGCTGGGTTCTGAGATTTGTTCCTGAGTCTCTTGGATCATGGCCATTAAGCAGCTTAATCAGGAGCCAGAGAGGCCACTCAAGGGCGGCGACTCGGGTCTCTTTGGGGCAGGGAGGAAAGGGTCAGCTGCACTGCCATCCTGCGAGACCCTGCATGTCTCATCATTGCGGGCCCAATCCTGACTGTTCAGTGACCCCCGAAGGATGGTGGCCACAGAGCTGCCAAGGGGAAACAGGTGGAGGGATAGCACCCTTTCCACCCTGGAGTGGCCCGGTGCCAGTAACTTACTGCAGAGACTAGACGCATTTCTGCCAAAAGCCGCTAGTTTGAGATTTGTTTCTGAGTCTCTGAGATCATGGCCATTAAGCAGCTTGATCAGGAGGGAGAGAGGCGGTTTATGGGCAGTGACTCTGGGGTCTCGTTGGGGCAGGGAGGAAAGGGCAAGCTCCAATCCCATCCCTTGAGGCCCCACATGTCTCGTCACTGCAGGCCCAAACCTGACTGTCCAATGGCCTCTGGAGGATGGCGGCCACTGAGCCTCCAAGGGGGAGCAGGCAGAGGGACAGCACCCATTTCCCCCTGGGGTGGCCCGGTGACAGTAACCTACTGCAGGGTCTGGATGCATTTCTGCAAAAAGCTGCTGGGTTCTGAGATTTGTTTCTGAGTCTCTGGGATCATGGCCATTAAGCAGCTTGATCAGGAGACAGGCCGTTCGTGGGTGGTGACTCGGGAGTTTCATTGGGGCAGGGAGGAAAGGGCTGGCACCACCCCAATCCTGTTAGGCCCCATGTGTCTCATCACTGCAGGCCCAAACCTGACTGTCCAATGGCATCTGGAAGATGGCAGCCACCGAGCCTCCAAGGGGGAGCAGGTGGAGAGACAGCACCCTTTCCCCTCTGGGATGTCCGGTGCTGGTAACCCATTACAGGGACCGGATGCATCTCTTGCCAAAGCTGCTGGGTTTCGAGATTTGTCTCTGAGTTTCTGGGATCATGGCCATTAAGCAGTTTGATCAGGAACCAGAGAGGCCTTGCCTCCAATTATATAGCTGTACGGGAGGTAGTTTGTGGATTTGTCTCCCATATACCTAACTTTTGGCTGCTTACTTTCTTGGTTAACTTTGCCCCAAGTTTTTGGGGTCTGGCCAAAGGCACAGCAGCAATTTTGGGGTATCTGGAAGTCTGAAGGCACCCTCAGGTTGCTGATGCACTCGCCTTACAGGTACAGATTGACCTGCTAGTGGCACCATAACCTCTTTCAGGGTCTTGATGAAGAAGTCTGACCATCTCATAGGTGCACGGCCAGGCATTCTTTTGACATCCTGTGGAATCTAGTCAGAAACAGCTCTAGTCTAGCAGTCATCTCTGAATTGCATTTCATGTCCAGCCCATCTGATTTTCGATGCCTTGGCAAACGAGGCAGCATCCCTGATTCTCAATAGTCAATGGAGGTTGGAAATCTGTATTCCTTCTCTCACTTGAGTGAAATGTGATATTCCAAGTAGAGCTCTTTTGATTCCTCTTTGAGAGACCCAAATAGCGTTCTTATTCTGTTTTCGTAGGGCCCAGGTCTCTGAGGCGTATGTTAATGCAGGAAGAACAGTAGAGTAGAAATGATGTGCCCAGAGCCGGAGGTTCTTCATCCTCTTAACAACTTCTCTGATGCTCTTGAAGGCATTCCACGCAACTCTCTTCCTCCTGCGCAGCTCGGGTGCCAGATAGTTCTTGATAGATGTTGAGTTCTCGACCTAGGTACACACAACTGCTGCATTCGGAGATGTTGGTTCCATTAAGAGCAAATGGAATGTCAGGGACTAGTTTGTTTCTTGTGAACATTGTCTTCGTGATATTCAGCTGCAGTCCAACCTTACCACACTCATGGTCGAAGTCAGCCATCATTTGTGCTGCTTGGCTAATGTTTGGTGTTATTAGAACGATGTCATCAGTGAAACAGAGATGGTGTGGTTGCCGACTGTCTATCTTCACTCCCATTCCTTCCCATTTCAGTTGTTGCATGGTGTTCTCAAGGGTAGCACTGAAGAGATTCCATGAAATGGTATCGCCCTGCTGAACCCCTCTCTTTACATCGATGATCACTTCCTTGTAGAATGGTGAGATCCTGGATCCTGGGGGTTAATCTGTAATACAGCTCATGGGGGATCCTGATGTACTGAGTTTCAATTCACTGTTTGGCTAGGGCTTCGATGACCACTTCAGTCTCAACATATATATATATATATATATATATATATATATATATATATATATGTGTGTGTGTGTGTGTGTGTGTAAACACACAAAAAAGGACGGGCAAGGGGGCGGCAACGGCCTATCTCTCCTGCCGCCAGCATTCAGTAGTCTCAGGCTGTTTCCCCACTCCAGGGAGGTCGATGGTAATGGTCAGGCTAACCGAAAGGTTGGTGGTTCGGGCCCACCCAGGGACGCCAGTTGTGTAAATACAAAAAAATGAACGGGCAAGGGGACGGCGGCGGCCTATCTCTCCTGCCGCCCGCGTTCAGCAGTCTCAGGCCGTTTCCCCACTCCACGGAGGTCGATGGCAATGGTCAGGCGAAGGAAAGAGACGAGGGCCAGGCTGGTTGGTCTTAGCAGTAGTTTATTACATGGAAGAGATGTATGTCATGGAGGCCCCAGGATCTCTCAAGCATGTGCGTCTTTGTTCTCTCAGCTTCTGTCCTTAGCCCCATCTTCCTAGGTTCTCTGGCACACATGGACCCCCAGAGAGCCCTGAAATCTCCCTTATATAGATCATAGTACCTCTAAAGGACACAGTATAGTGATGTCATCAAAAGGAGTTACAGAAAGAACATTGAGGCCGCAAACCATACATTGTTTCTTTACATCCGCAGGCCAGTAATCCTGGCCTCACATTTTATAAGCTACAAACACTTGGATTTTCATCCCAAAGACCAGTCTGCTAGAGCTTGGAATCTACATCCCAAAGATTAGGCCTGGCTAGCACCTGAGATCTGCATATCTAAGACCACCTAGGTTTCCGTGAGAAAAGGGAAACTGCCTCAATATACTGAAATCATTTACTGAAGGCAGTTTGAAGGGGAAAAAGTTCAGTCTCATCCAAGCTAGTCAGGACACACAGGAAAACTGCTTCTAGGACAGATTCTGATTTAATAGATCAACCCACCCTAGAACAGATTTCCCTCGGTGTGTTTCTCCTCGCCTTGTCCGACCAACATATAAGCATACATAATATAAATCATTTTGTATGGACACAGTAAGAAATACCTTAAGCTTATAGAATTGCTCTCCTAGGGCCATCTCAATCTCAGACTGCAGTGCTCAGGCCAGATATCTTTCCTATTCTTAGCAGCAGGGTCCTAGTCTCGTCATTACTTTTGGATCATGACAGCATTTGCCTATGATCAAACTCTTAACTTATAGTTAAGAATCATGGCACCAGAGTGTACATTTCCCACTACCAATATTGGATGGAGTTTTCAAAGATTTATTTCTCTTCCAAATCATTGCTTCCATATGGAAATTCAACTGATTTTGTATATTGATTTTGTATTCTTTCACTTTACTGAATAGTTTTACTGCTCCTAGGAGGTTTTTTATTGTGTGTGTGGAGTTTTTAGGGTTTTCTGTATCTAATATACAAACAGCAAATAGTGAAGTTTTCTTCTTTTCTAATTTGGATCCCTTTAAAAACTCTTTTAAAACTATGTGTTTCCAAGGATTTCCAAGACTGTGTTGAGTAATAGTGGTGAAAGTGGACATCCTTGCCTGTTTTCCTCTTAGAAGGAAAGACTAGGTTTTTTACCACTGAGTATGATAGAGCTGTGGGGTTGTGACATATCCTTTAACAAATTGAGAGGAATTCCTTCTACCTTATTTTGTTGAGATTTTTTTATTTTTAAATTATCAGTGGGTATTGGATTTATTTATTTTTTGAAGGGTTTTTTGTTTAATACATCTGGAAAGAATGCATATACAAAGAATTGAGACATGAGAAAGCATTGGTCCAACACTAATGATTCTACAAGAATTAGGATTGGGGAAAGTGGGAAAAATTATCCAAACATTTTTAAAAACTGGAATTTTTGCAACAAAAATGAGCTGATAAAATCCCTATCAACAATTATTATAGTCTTTATAAGTCTCTGTTCCTGATTTTTTTTTTTGTTTTGTATTTTTAATTAAACTAGAGCCTCAGTTGGCTGCTCTAGGGTTCTCAGATGCACAAAAGAAATAAAGAGATGCCCCTGGCTGGTCCCCATGTTGTTAAATGTTCTCTCCACCCCACCACATCCCTAGCTTCTTAATGAAGCAGGTCTCTATCCTCCTAACTAGGAAGAGGATGCAAATCATTGAAATGTGTCCTCTAGCACCACCCCCCATATTTTCTCTACATACCAGGTCTTCAGCTATTTCTAGGAATACCATATCAGATACTATTACATATCTTGTCTATGCTAAGCATATAAGACAATGACTGACAAGGGGAAAATGCTTTTTAATTATGTACTCAACCCATTCAGTATATTTCAAAAGGTGCAATACTTTTCATTTATTAGAGAACTTAGAAATTAACTTCAGGGAGAAAAACTTTTTTTAAAAAATGGGCAAAAAAATGGGCTCAGATCTCTGCCTAACTCCATGTACAAAAGTAAGATCTAAGTGGATTAAAGACCTCAACATCAGACCGGAATCTATAAGGTACATTGAGGAAAAAGTTGGCAAAACCCTCCATGAAGCTAATGGTGTCTTCAAAGATGTCACACCGCTGGCCAAGCAAGTGAAAACAGAGATAGACAAATGGGACTATCTTAAACTAAGAAGCTTCTGCACCTCCAAAGAAACAGTGACCAAAATACAAAGACAGCCTACAGAATGGGAAAGGATATTCACCAAGTACACATCCGACAAGGGGTTGATATCAAGGATATACAAGGTACTGGTTAAACTCCACAAGAAGAAATCACCCAACCCCATCAAAAATGGGGAGATGAAATGAATAGAAACTTTCACGAAGAAGAAATCCGAATGGCTAAAAGGCACATGAGAAAATGCTCCACACCATTAATCATCAGGGAGATGCAGATCAAAACCACAATGAGATATCACTTCACACCACAGAGACTGGCCCATATCCACAAGAACAAAAGCAACCAGTGCTGGCACGGATGTGGTGAGAAAGGGACACTCCTTCACTGTTGGTGGGAATGCCGACTGGTTCAGCCCTTTTGGAAAACAGTATGGACGATTCTCAAAAAATTAGAAACTGAGCTCCCATTTGATCCAGCAATACCATTCCTGGGAATATATCCCAGAGAGGCAAAAAAGTATAGTCGAAGTGACATCTGCAATTGTCTGTTTATTGCAGCACTGTTTACAATAGCCAGAATCTGGAAAAAACCTGAGTGCCTGAGAACAGGTGACTGGTTAAAGAAACTTTGATACATTTACACAATGGAGTACTGTGTAGCTGTTAGAAAAGATGAAGTCATGAAATTTACATACAAGTGGTACTACATGGAAAGTATCATGTTAAGTGAAATGACTCAGAAAGAAAGGGATAGACATAGAAAGATTGCATTCATCTGGGGAACATAAAGTAACAAAATAGGAGACTAACACCCAAGAATGGCCGAGATTAGTACCAGGAATTTTACTCCATGGCTTGGAGGCCAACCACACATACTAGGGGGAAAGGGAGCTCAGATAAAGAAGGGAACACCAAATAAAGGTGTTGGGAGGATCCTCCCAGGATGGGAGAAGCATGCGGAAAGTAGACTATAGACTAAACATGATTGTCAACCATTGCCTATTTTGCAAACCACAACACCCAATAAGAGAGAGAACAAAATGGAATGCCCTGCCACAGAGGCAGGGTGGGATGGGGGGGATAGGGGGTGGGAGGGATACTGGGATCCGTGGTGGTGGGAAATGGGCACCGGTGGAGGGATGGGTATTTGATCATTGTATAATTGCAACCCAAGCACAAAAATGTGTAAGTCTGCAACTGTACCTCATGATGTCTCACTATTAAAAATTTTTAATAAAAAAATTAAATGGGAAACATATTTCCTTGAAAGTCAGTCACATATATAGTGCATCCTAGAAAAGAGGAGGGACAAATCAGGTTCCACTTTCATTAGTTTCATCAAATACTGAACCTACTCAGGGGTGGAGAGAAAAGACAACTTTCAAAAAGGAGTATGTTCACTGCAGGAGACATCTGCTATACTCCTTCCTAAAAGCACCAGGTGGGGAGCGTGTCCTCTAAACCAGACATAGGAAGTGGAATGTGGAATCCATCCATCCTCCTCTCCTTAAGGGCTATCCAATAGCTAATGAATGAAGAAAATACAAACAAAAATACTAAATAAAAACAGACCCCCACACACACTCACCTACACACAAAAAAGGAGGGGAAAAAACTCAATTACTAGATGCCCCAGATTACTCTCCAGAGTGGAGCCCCGCAGCAGCTTTAACAATCCGAATTAGTCTGTTACAGAGTCGTCACAAGCATGCCTTGCTTTAAAAAATAACAAAACAAACAAAAAAATTTAAAACAACAAAACTGAAACTAGTACTGATCACTTCTCTGACAAATACATAATTACTCAAAATTAACTAGTATCTGGAGGAGGAGGGCCATTCCTATGAGCCTGTTTTACAGGAGTGCATATTGGTAGGAGCAAGGCATTTGTCATTACTGCAAAAAAAAATTTTAATTTTTAATCTTTAGTTTGATTTAAACATTGCTTTTAGTATGATGCCAACACCAGCTGTGCAGAAAGGACTCTGGACAGATGTTCATAGCAGCACACGCCTGCAGCTCTTCTTCGGTTTTGGAGGCTCCAGGGCAGCCAATATTACTTCATCAAATATATTCTTTAGGCCTTTCTGTGTGAGTGCAGAGCACTCCACATATTTGACAGCCTTCAGGTCATGAGCCAGCTTTTCAACAGTCTCTGGAGTGATAGGCTTCTGTTTGTTCTTGGCAAGTTTTTCGATAGTAGAGGGGTCATCTCTGAGATCAATTTGGGTCCCAACAAGTAAGAAAGGAGTCTTTGGACAGTGGTGAGTTATCTCAGGCATCCACTTTTCTTTCACATTTTCAAATGAGGATGGAGATACCACTGAAAAGCAGACTAAAAATACATCTGTCTGTGGGTAACTCAGTGGTCGTAATCTGTCATAATCCTCTTGTTCTGCAGTATCAAAAAGTCCAAGAGTACATGGCTCTCCACCAATCATAATAGTAACTTCATAGTTGTCAAAAACCGTTGGTACGTACTCAGATGGAAATTTGTTTGTTGTATAGGATATCAGGAGACATGTTTTACCAACGGCACCATCGCCCACAACAACACACTTAATTGTCTGCATTGCTGAAACAGTTTTGTATTCAACTTTACTTCAAATTCAATAATGACCTCAGCTCCTCCCCCGGGGCCTTGGCAGCACTTTGCGGGGTCTCCTCAACTCAGGTGTTGGATTTAGAATAATACTTTCTCTGCATCTGTAGATAGTATATTATGATTTCTATCTTTCCTTATTTTAATGTAGTGTATCACATTAACTGACTTGCATATATTGAACCATTCTGAGGAGAAATCCTACTTGATTATGGTGTATGATCCTTTTAATATATTACTGAACTCAATTACTAAAGTTTTTGTAGAGGATCTTTTCATGTATGTTCAACAGTGGTTTTAATCTATAAATTTTGTTTTGAGTGATGTCTTTGTCTATTTTTGGTATCGGGTAACATGGCCTCATAAGAACTTCTGTTTCTTTGACTTTCTGATAAAATCTTTGGTCTTCTTTGAAGGTTTGGAAGAATTTGAAGTGAATTCATGTGGGCCCAGGTTTACAACTGACGTTTGTAGTTACTGTTTCGATTTCCATGTTAGTAATTCGTCTGATCAGGTCTTGAACTTCCCCCTAATTCAATTTAGGAGATTATAGAATTCCAAAACTATTCATTTCTCATGGGTTTTCTAATTTGTGGCTTAATGTTTTGTAGTATACTTGTACAAGTTTTTGGATTTCTTTGATAACTCTTGTTACTTCTCCCTTTGATTTCTGATATGATTTATTAGAGTTTTCTTTTCCTGAGGGGAAATCCACATCAGTGGTGCTCTGGGAACCATATGGGATGCTGGGGATTGAGCCTGGGTCAGCTGCATGCAAGCCAAATGCTCTACTCTCTGTACTATCAATCCCCCATAAGTTTAGCAAAAAAAAAAAAAAATTAATGCTCTTATTTATCCTTTAGATAAACCAACACTTGGTTTCATTGCTCATTTATATATTTATTTCTACATCAATTTTCATGTAAGGTTTACTTTTTTCCCCCTTCTGCTTATTTTCAGTTCCTTTATCTGTTCTTTCTCTAATGATATTAGCTTATCTATTGGGGCCTTGTTTTGTTTCCTGATAAATGTTTTCTTTGCTATAAACTTCCCTCAGAACAGTTCTTCTGCGTTTCTTACTATGTTCTCTTAACTTGTGGCTTCATTCCAATTTCTCTCCAGGAATCTTACAATTTCTTCTTAAATTTTCTCCTTGACTTGTTAGTTGTTCAGTAGTATGTTGTTTCGTTTTCAAGTCTGCATTTCCCCCAGCATTCTATTTGTGGTTAATTTCTACCTTCAACATATTGTGGTCTAAGAAAATACTTAATATGATTTGGGCTGGAGCGATGGCACAGCAGGTAGGGTGTTTGCCTTGCAACTGGCCAACATGACCAACCCGAGTTCAATTCCTCCCCGCTTCTCCGAGAGCCTGGCAAGCTACCGAGAGTATCTCGCCCGCACAGCAAAGCCTGGCAAGCTACCCGTGACGTCTTCGATATATATTCGATGTGCCAAACACAGTAACAATTGTCACAACGGAGATGTTACTGGGCCCGCTTGAGCAAATTGATGAACAACGGGAGAACAGTGACAGGTTTTCTGTTATGTCGATTTAATGGATTTATATGATTTTATGTTGCTTTTCTTCTCATTGCAGAAAGATCTCTCTTGAACAATGTCTTGTGCTCTGGAGAAGAATGTGTTTTAGACTTTGTGGGGAGGTGAAAAGTTCTATGCACATCTATAAAACCTACATCTTCCACTACTTTTAAGCCAATGTTTCCTTTTTGAATTTTTGTCTAGTTGATCTAACCAGTATTGAAAGGGGAAGTATTAAAATCTCTTAAAACTATTGTTTTGCTGTTGGTATCTTTCCTTGGATCTATTAGTAGTCGTTTTATGTATTTTGATGGATCTTTATTTCACATATGTTTTGATGGATCTTTATTTACATATTTACACAATGAGTGTTGCAATACTTGCTGTTTACATCCCTTGATCATTATATAATATCCAATAAACTTTTCAAAGTCTGTGTTGTCGGGGCTGGAGCGATAGCACAGCGGCTAGGGCATTTTCCTTGCATGCAGCCAATCTGAGTTTGATTCCCAGCATCGCATTTGGTCCCCTGAGCACTGCCAGGAGTAATTCCTGAGTGCATGAGCCAGGAGTAAACCAAAGACTGTGTTGTCTGACATAAGCATGGTTATCCTGGCCTTTTTTAGGCAACTATATACCTGTAAGATTGTTTTACAAACAGGATATACATGATAGCCTTTTAGTATCTGTATTGCAAACCATAAGGAGAGAGAGAGAGAGAGAGAGAGAGAGAGAGAGAGAGGAAAAGTACCTACCATAGAAACTAGAAACAGAAGATGGGAGCAGGAGGGAAATTGGGGACCATTGGTGGTGAGAAATGTGCACTGGTGAGGGGATGGGTTTTGGAACATTGTATGACTGAAACCCAACCATGAACAACTTTGTAACTGTATCTCACTGTTATTCAATTAAAAAATAAAATAAATAAAAATTAGGCACTGTCTGTAGCACTGTCCTCTTGTTGTTTATCTATTTGCTCTAGCAGGCACCAGTAACATCTTCATTGTGAGACTTGTTACTGTTTTTGACATATCAAATACACCGCAGGGAGCTTGCCAGGCTCTGCTGTGCTGGGGCGGGATTCTCTCCATAGCATACCGGTCTCTCCAAGAGGGATGGAAGAATCGAACCCTTTTCGGCCACGTGCAAGGCAAACACCCTGCCTGCTGTGCTATCGCTCCAGTCCCAAAAATTAGGCTTTAGTCCTAAAGTTTAAAAATATTGTTTCCAGCCTTATACTTTGAACCTGTATTTATAATAAACATTAGGTGTGTTTCTTGTTAGTTAGAAGCTGTTTGGGTACCATTTTCTGATAGATCCCAAACCTCCTTGCCTTTGATTGGTTTAGGTTATTGACACATGAGCATATTGAAATTAAGAAATTTGTTGCCACCTTTTTGTATGGATTATGAGTGTCTCTGAAGTTTGCTGGTTTGGCCATCTTTCATTTTCTTTCCTCTATCCTTAGTTATGTGCCTTTATGCAGCTGTCAAGTTATTAATGCTTCCTCTTGGTTGAATCCTCTAAAGGTGCTTGCTTGAGATTACCACATAGTTTACCTCTGAATTTATATACCGTATCCACTCACATTCAAAACAAGTGAGTCTCAAGGACATTATACAAGCCACCACTATTCCTCTCCTTCTCCCTCTTTTTTATATTTTCAGTATCTTATCACTCCCAAGTAGATTTTCTCTGCCTTTTATTTATTTACTTTTTCTTTTTTGGGGCTGGAGCGATAGCACAGCGGGTAGGGCGTTCGCCTTACAAGCGGCCAACATGGCCGCCCCGAGTTCGATTCCTCCGCCCCTCTCGGAGAGCCCGGCAAGCTACCGAGAGTATTCGATATGCCAGACACAGTAACAACAAAGTCTCCAATGGAGACGTTACTGGGCCCGCTCGAGCAAATCGACGATCAACGGGAGGGCCTTTACTTTACTTCTTTTTTGGTCACACCCAGCAATGCTTAGGGGTTACTCCTGGCTCATGCACTCAGAAATTACTCCTGGCGGTACTTGGGTGACCATATGGGATAAAGGGATCAAACTCGGGTTAGCCGTGTGCAAAGCAAACGCCCTACCCGCTGTGCTATTGCTCCAGCCCCTTTCTTTGCCTTTTAAAGGAGACCAATTAGTACAAAGCTAGTTTAATGGTCAGAAACTTCTTTTAACTTATTTTTGTTCATAAAGATTTTTGCTACTCCTTCAAATTATGATAACATAGTTGAAAAGAATTTTTGCTTAAATGTTTATTTCATCTACTTTATCTCTTATCAACCTTTTTCTTAGGCCTAAGAAAGTTTCATTTGATACATCTGCTGTGAGCTTTCTGGGGTTTCCTTTATATGTAAGTTTCTTTGTTGATCTTGCTTTTCTTAGAATTTTATCTCTATTTTAGATTTTTTGTCATTTTAATTTACAATGTACCTTGAATCTCTTTTATTTGTATTTATTTATTTATTTGAAACAGACTTTGTTGGATCTGTGTCTATGACTCTGTACTCAGATTAGGAATTATTTCGCAGCTATGAATTCTTTCACCCCTAGTTATTTCCCAGTTCCCTCTCTTCCTGGGACTTCTATAATTCTGGAGTTATTCCTTTTCAAGTTATCCTATAGGCCTCTACTGTTATTGTCATGTATTTTAAATCATTTAAACATTTTCTCTTTAATAATAGTTTCAATTATCTTATCCTTCAGCACACTGATTCATTCCTTGACTTCTGTCATTCTGCTACTGCCTCCATCCAACGATCATCTTATGACACACAAAGAACAAAAAAGTCAATACTAATAGGCATACATGATGTAAATAAAGTACAATATCTACAGAAACCATTAGATGATTTATTCGGTGGTCAAAGAGGAGTGCCAAAATCTACTACTCTTGTGTTATTGTGATATCTTTCCACAGGCCTATTAGCAGTCAATACATAAATTTTGATGGTCTCAAAGTAGGTGCATATATGTTTATGAGTTTAATGTTTTCTTGCTGTATAGATCCCTCATTTATGTAACTTAAATAATGACCATCCCTGTCCCTAATAATCTTACTAAATTTGAAGACTTTACTGACTGATGTAAGTATGCACATCCCAGCCTTTTTCAAGCAATTGTTTACTGTATGATTGTCTTCCAGTTACAAAATTTGAAATTGTTTTTACTATTACTATTTAGGTGTGTATCTTGTAGGCAGCAGAAAGTTGGGTTCAGTTTTCTGATCCATCACACCATTCTGTGCCTCTTGGTGAATTCAGGTCATTGGTGTTAAGTGAGACTATTGAGATGAAAGGAATTTACTGCCACCTTTTGGTAGAAATTTTGAGTGTTTGTAAAATTTGTCCTGCCATTTAAATAAGGCCAATTAATGCTTCTTGCAAAGCTGGTTACAGCGCTGTTAACTTCTTAAACTTTTTTTTTGTCCCTGAAGCTTTGTGTCATTTCTTCAAATCTGAATGACAACTTAGCTGGACAGAGTAGTCTTGTTGAGATGTTTATTTCACTCAGCCTATTTGCTATATC